GTACAAAGGCACTGAGACAGGGACATTCTTGATGTTTCTGAGGAGTGGGAAGAAAGTTCACATCATGGGAGTATGATGAGGGAGAATCATTTTAACAAGGGAAGAGCTAGAATCAGGAGTCTTGAGTAGGGAGAGGATGCCAAGAAAGGAAACTGATTGTTGAACTGGTCAGGGACTCATTCTCCAATTTTGACAGGAGGTAAAGAGTGAGAAATAAGCCTACGAGGTGGCCTTTTTGTAAGGAGAATAGGAAGAAATCACTGCATTTTTCAATTAAAGTATGAGGTAACATCATCAAATGAGAGTAAAGGAGGAAGTGTGAAGAGAAAATGAAAAATCCTTATAAAGAAGGAAAGAGGGAACATGCTAGGTTTGGGGGAAGAAATGTACAAATCTGAATTTAAAGTGAGAAAAAGAATTTTCTCCAGTCCTGAGAGATGAAGAAAAGGGATAGATTATTTACATTCACCTAAATAATCATAAATCCCAATCCAAGTGTCAGAATCCTAACACTAATATATTGCTTGTTTGCTGGTGGGAATATAAATTGACATAATCACTTCTGGAAAGAAATTAATCAATATGTTACTTAGTTACATAAAAGTAATTGTGAGATGGTGACAAAATGGGTATTTAGGAGTTAGGTACATCTGCACTCAGTCATATGTGCCCAAATGTCCCCTGAGTTTGCATCCTTTTTGCCACAAAAAAATGTAGTTGAGCAGAACGACTGTATAAAATACAGTTTGGGAATAAGATGCTACCTAAGCCCATTAGACGACTTAATTTGAATCTTTTGAAGTAAGTTCTAGTTTCAATTTAATGTTGCATCCAGCATTTTAAGTTTAGGAATGGCAACTTTAACAATTTTAAGCAATTTTTAACATCAAGCAGGAACATTACAATACATTTTTTTTCCAACAGATTTTGCAATAAACTTTTCAGGCAAAATAAGAATTACTTTGTTTTGATGAAGATCACTTACCCTAAGGCTCCCAGGTGTTTTTGGAGCAAATCAAATTATATTTGCAACCCTCTTGCCAACCTTTTAGTATCAGAGAAATGAATGCAGACAGATGAAAAAAAAAAAAAAACAGACAACATTATAAAACATGCTTAATGGCACAAAGTGAGACATTCAATGACATTGTAGGATCAGGAAATAAAAAAGAAGGTCAGGAAAATGATACAGGACTGATACCACCCCTTCTCAAAGAAAGCAGAAAATTTCCATGCAGCAGAAAACAGAGCAGCTGTGGTGTAGACAGGGGTAAGGCCCATGAGTCTTAGTCAGCAGAGCTCTTCCTGATCCCTTAAAGGGTATTACTGCCCAAGAACCTTCAGAGAACCTATATTCTGCATTAGGATGATAATGGGCTCTATGCAGACCATCCTCTGGCCTCCCATGGTGAGCTGGGCCTTTGCCAGAGGTTTGGTTCATCATCATGATCAGCTAAGTTCAAGTGGTAAGCATAAGCTAGTATGGGCCAAAGTTTCAAGCTGAAAGGGCTAGAAGACTCAGGAAAAAAATGGTTCATGATTTACAATAACCTTTTATCTCAATGAGCACAATCACTCTCAAACATCTGCGTGAGCAGTCTGGGACTACTCTGGAGTCCTCAGAGTTAAGGATCAATGATTTCCCAGAATAAGGCCAAGTTGACGTATGAACCTACGTCATGGATGGCTCATCCACAGCCAAAGATCTTCCTCTGTCCCAGATAAAGCAAAAGCCCTCATTGATCCTGGTACTGCAAAGGCTGGGCATGTATAGGAAGTGGAGACCAAAGGAGCTAAGTGGAGAATGACTTAGCAGTTCATGCTACTGGTAGATAGAGAGGGTGAAGGTCAAGCACAGTATCAGTGGTGAAAAGAATCCAACCTTAAGGTCTCAGAAATTCAGGCAGTCCAACTCAAACCCACAGCAAGCCATAAAGCAATCTCTGTTCCAAAGGAGCTTTCTTTAGGAGCATTTTGTAAGGAAGAGAGCAGTAGCAACCCCAGTGTATACAATCCTTCCAGAATGGAGAGTCTAACTTTGGTGTTCTCAACTGTGCCCAATCTCCTCCAGGCTCAGACCACAGTAGAGATGATTCTGACAGATGGTTTGATCCACATTTTTTTGCTTTACAATGGTGCAAAAGCTATATGCATTCAGAACATATCTTACTTCAAATTTTGAATTATGATCCTTTTCCAGGCTAGCAGTATGCAGTCTGAGACTGTGCTAATGCTGGGAAGTGACAGTGAGCCATACATAGCTCCCAGTTAGCCTGTGGGATCAAGAGGGGAAGCCACTGACACTCTTTACAACAGGACTATGTTGCAAAGCTAGGAAGTTTTGTAGGTTAGGTACGTTTGATGCATTTTTACTTATAATATTTTAAATTTATGTAGAGTTTTTTGGAACACAACTGTATTGCCAGTTGAGGAGTGTCTGTACTTTATTTATAATATATTGTTGAGTTACCTACATTGGCCCAGCCCTGGTTTGCCAGGTCACCAACATGATTCAGCAAATATAACAACAAAAAGAGAAGTCAGCTTTTGGGTCAAAGATAGGATAAAGGGTGGCCCATCAACGTGAGCACTCACACCTTATTTTTTTTAATCAAAAACCATGATATGTGTGTGTTGTGTTTGTACAAACATAATATTTGTTTTATACATAAATATCAACAAAGTTTATAGAGAATAGCATAGAATGAATGTGTATATATATGAATTATTAAAAATAATCAGTATTTTAATGATCAATGTGATTTTTGTCCAAAAGTTCAAATTAATCTCTATAACAATTTAAAAAAAATATCAAGGCAGAAATTTCTATATCAGCCAATTTTAAGAAGTCAGATGGCAGTATGGAGCTGAGCACATGAAGAATATGGTGGAGAGTTTCTTTATGACAGCTTGTCCAGGTTCACATAAACCTGAAGAATTATTTCAGAAACATAAGGCCAAAATAAAGATCTAAGGTATATATTGAGAGTACATTTAAATAAAATAGCTACATATTTAGAGATCCATTTTCTAATTTAAGAGGCTATTTGAGAGGCATAATGGATGTAAACTTGACTAGAATAATTATGTGTTAGGTCACTGCACAAAGTCTATTGCTAAAAGTTTCCCATAGCTTATTACTCCATTATGATTTAACTTTCTCATATAAACTTACAGGACAAGTGTTAGAGACAAAATTTTTCATCCCTGTTTTGTGGTGTTAAATCCAACACTTTGAAATGAAATTTGGAAACTTACTACAGCACTTTCATGCATATTATAAAACTTTATCCCAAAAGAGTTCAAGCTCTCTGCTTTTAACAAAGGCATCCTGACATACTCTTCTTCTGGTATGAAAATGAAGAATGCAGAAATAAAAATGGAGCAAACTCAAATAGCAAGTTTGGCTTAAAAGGTCAAAAATTAAGATTAATTTTTGATATTTGCTTGTTGCTCCCCGCAACTACACACGTACATGAACACATATACATATACATGTGTACCATTCACATATACCTACTGGTTTGTTCTGCTTAAATCTTTTTGGGGGGAACTACAGGGAAGGTAAAGGACTCATTATTTAATGTTCACAAGACTTCTGGGTAATAGTTTGAACAAAAGATATACTTGTCAGAACCTCCATAATTTTATAACCACATTTCTCATTTTTTGCGGGAAAATATAAAATGCTGAAGACCTTTCAAAGAAACCTCAGGCTAGACTGTATGCATGTGGTACTAGGGATTGAACCCAGGGGTGCTCCACCACCAAGCTATATCCTAAGCCCTTTTTATTTTGCATTTTGAGAAAAGGTTTAGCTAAGTTGCTGAGGCTAGCCTTGAATTCACAGTCTCCCTGCCTCAGCCTCCTGAGAAGCTGGAATTACAGGCAGGTGCCACCTCAACCAGCTGTGAATTACTTTTATAAAATAACACCATGGCTTGATTTACACATGTTGCTTTTTTCTCTTAGAGTTAAAAAGTCTGATATGGTGGAAACCCCAACTTCCTCCGTAGTAGTATAGTTTTGAGAAAGTCATTTCCTATTTAAGGCAATCTTAAGTAATTCACTTTACTTAGCTTGAGGCACTACAAGTCACAGTGGTGTGAATTTCAATACATATTATTATGATTTAATTTTGAGCTTCTGGAGTCTCATTAGAAAACTCTGGACTCCAATTTATACAGGTGTTTAACTCAGAACTTTGAACCACTACTAGAAGGCCTCAGAGGCACTTTTAGGTGAGGAGATTGAAAAAGAGACATACACACACACTCTACTACTACTACTACTACTACTACTCTAAAACAAAACAAAACAAAAATCAGTGCAAAATCAAAGCAAGGGATCAAAGGTTTTTAAGAGCACCATTTATCAAAGTGATATTCAAAAGAATTAACCCCTAGCAGTAGTGGAACACCCTGGGAAGGTCTCCTGGTTTCCAGAGCAACCAGGGAAGCCCAGGTCCTCCTCTAGGTTCAGGAAGGCAGCCTGGCTTCCTGATTTGAGTGATTGCATTCTAAGACCCAGAGAAAGAGATTTCTCATCAGGAAGCCTCTCAGTTAGTAATTCCCATAAGTATTCGTGGCACCACCTCGATAAAACTCCATGGAGAATATACCTTACAATCTTGCAACTGTGCAAATAGCTTTGGAAAAAAACTTTATTAAAACCTCTGGTATGTCAGGGCAATATTAATTACAGGCATTTGTGGCTATGATACAGGAAATCCATCCTAGGGGAATTTGTGCTCTTAGATATGGCAACCCAATTATATACAATGCACTCAAGGAGGCTGCTTTGCAATTGATGACTATTTATAGTAACAGTAATGCCCCAAATATTGGGGTGATAAGATTTTTTTTTCTGCAAAGCTCAAAGTATTTCATGCATGTTTCCTAATTAATATGAGGACACAGCCTCACTTACTATAGTCAGTGAGAAATTCAATGGCAATGCACCATGGAACTGTAAAACTGTCCCCGAAAAGGCAGACAGACCTGAGCCCATACAGCACCGTCCCATCCGGGTGAAGGCGGATCATGCGGTTTTTCACTGTCACTCCATGTACAAATGACTTTTTGTCATTTAAGAAATATGTGTCGGGCACCCATAGCTGGTCAGCCACTCGATTGTCAAGGGTGAGGTTGAGAGGGATCCCAGAATAGGCGAGCCTTTTATCTCTCCAATATTGTTGGAAATACATGGTCAAGGTATAATCCTGGGGGAAGAAAAAGAAAAGAAAGATTAGTTGCTGCCCATCCATAGGTGTAATTCCTCCATGACTGGCCACATTGAGGTTGAAATCCAAGCTCTATAATGAATATCCAGGAGGAATAGATATCATTTTAAGGCAGGGTGGGAAGCAGTGGTTGTTTCCTTGTGAATGCAAATACCTGGTTTAATGGGTACAGTATATGAACAGATGTGTGTCATGCATACAAATGGTCTGTTTTATTTAGTTAGGAAGCAGACTAGACAAATTGCCTTTTAAGAGATAGCCACAAAGAAATAAAGAAAAAAAGAAAAAAAAACCATAAAATCAGGGTGCTGGCGGGGAATCTGATCATTCCCCTAAGTGCACTATCTTCCACTAGGCAAACAGATGCTTTAACCACCCACAACAGATGAGCTCTTTCTACACTCTCTCTCTCTCTCTCTCTCTCTCTCTCTCTCTCTCTCTCTCTCTCTCTCTCTCTCTCTCTCTCTCTTTTTCTCTCAGCATAGCAGGTGATTCAGTGAGAAGAAAATGGTAAAAGGGCAAATATGATGTTGTAATTAAGATGTGGGCAATATATATATATTTTTTTTCCTTTCTTTTATTTTGGCAATCACTATTCAATTCTGGATAATCAAGTCTGAAAATTTGGTTATAGTCACAAGACATTCCAAATTCTATTGTGTAAAGACCCAAGCTGAAAAATCAAAGGCATGCATGTTAATTCTCTAGTCAGAGAAGAAAAAGTCTCCTCTGTTCCAGGCAGTGCTTTCTGAATCCGCACCCTATCAGGTCATGTCTGCAAATACCCTCACTTTATGGATGGTGAGAGGTGGATAAAAAAATCAGTTCAAGAGTTCATCCTGAACATCCTCCCACAGCCCATCCAACACTCTTTACGCTGTCTTACCAGGCAGTTCTGGGTGTGGCTAGTTGAAGAACACCTATTTATTACTGCTCTCAACAGTGAGTATAGAAGGTTAGAAAATGATAAATATCAGATGTCAGCCTTGTCTTTAGTCAAGCACAGCAAGAAGAAGTAAGAGAACTCATACATGTTGAGCAATATGTTTTAAAATGGTAAAGCCCAAAATAATGAGAACAGAGAGAGGCAAGGAAATCCAAATGAGCTGGAGTATTTTTATTGTTGTTGTTGTTGTTTGGTACTAGGGATTGAATTCAGGGGCATTCAACCACTGAGCTACATCCCTAGCCCTATTTTGTATTTTATTTAGAGACAGGATCTCACTGAGTTTCTTAGTGCAACTCGCCATTGCTGAGGCTGGCTTTGAACTTACTATTCTCCTGTCTCAGCCTCCTGAGCTTCTGGGATTACAGACGTGTGCCACCGCACTCAGCAACCTGGAGTTTTAAGAGATTTTATCTATGGGGTTTGCAGTATGACCAGTGGTAGAGCACTTGTCTAGAATGTGCAAAGGCTAGGGTTCATTCCTCAGTGCCATTAAAAATAAAGATAAAAAAAATACTAAATGAAGGAAGAGAGGTTTTATTTGCACCTTGAAGGAAAGGTAGCATTTGAGTAGATAAGAAGAAAGGGGAAACTTTTTTCCAGGCACTTCATGGGCAGAGTTCTGTGCCTGCCATTACTTGTGTGGATGCTCACCACCTCCCCCACCTCCAATTAAAGTTTTTCACAGAGAAGTTGGCTCTAAACATAGGTCTCACTTAGCTAGATAGTAGGCAAAGGGCATGAAAAAAATGCTTGGGCATCTCACATTTACAGTACTAATGATCTCTGAAGAGGGCTGTTTTGCTGGAATACAGGATTCATGGAGTGGTGGGCAATGCTGCACTCCAAGTCAGGGGCCAGAAAGAGGACTCAAATGCTAGCTTTGCAACCAGTCAAAGCCAATGACAGTTTCTGGGTAGAAAAGTGATTCTATCCAGTGTATCAATCATGTGTCTTTGTTTACTGTATTCTGATATTTTAATGTCTGGGGCTTTGCTGACCCTAGAGGTACTATCCAGGCCTCTATTCACCATCCCACAGGACCAAGGTATACAGACCAAAGTCTGTATGCCCCAGAGACCTGAAATTACCAATCCTGAGCCTGCTTACCCTATCTCCCTTGTTCCTTCCCAGAGAAACCACAATAAAGTCCTTCCCTATAGCTGCCCCTTTCCCCCGCCTCCTGACCTCCCCCGCCACCCAGTGTCTGTGTGGCTCCACAGGGTATAGGGTCTCCCCTCCTCTTAGGAACTGGGAGGAACCAGCTATCCTGCCAAGGGCAGCTGACTCCTGATCTGTGGGCCTCACCATATCCAAAGGGTAAAGCCTATGTCTTAAAACACTAAACAGGGAAAACAAAATCTGTTTGGCAAAGGTACTTTCAATGGGTAAAAGGGAAAGTGGTAAGGAATCCAGAGTGAAGCACAAAGTGCTTGTTGGTAGGAAAGAGGGGAGAACAGGTGGGAGGAGGGTTCCTAGCTAGCCATGTCCTGGAAAGTTCCCAGATAAAATGTTCAAGTAGAACATCAGATAAAGAGTGGAACTCCACAGTGCACGGTCTCATCCAGCCATCACCACTGACTTACAGAGGGGAAGTCATGGTGGCATAAAGAAGATGGGAACAAATCAGCAGTGGCAGCTAAAGGATTTCCTGTTTGAATATAACCCTCCAAACTCTTTTCTTATTGGAACAGAAGAGTTTCACTTGCTTCTTTTCTTAATTCCCAGCCCCACCTCCTGGCCCCTGAGTCATGAAGTCTAGCACTCTTGGCAGAGCCCCCTTCAGACAGGCCTGCACGTGTCTTTCCATGAGAAAGAGGAATACAACAGTGTGTGCTGGGAGACCGGCTGTCATGCTCAGTTCCAAAGCTCGGGCCTGGGGTTTTATTTTGGATGGTGTCGCTCTCCACACCATCAGCAGCACCTCATTTGGGTCTTCTGCATTTGCTGATATGACTTGTGTGGGTTGTGGGGAAGAGCGTAGGGAACAGAGAGAAGAAAAAAAAAATAGTATTCAAGTCCAAACCTACTGCATCAGCTCTGCCTTGTAAGGTACCAACAATTACATCATGGTGATGCTCAGTAGTAGCCCACTTCTTTCCCCTTCTGACACTGGTAGACAAAAGGCAGGGGATGGTGGAATTGTCCACGCCTCCCCCCATTACTTTGCACAGTTGCCAGGCAGTGAATGGAAGATTTTACTGACAAGAAGCCATGCTGCTGCCTCTTGTGATGTGCATTGATAAGCAAGAGAGTCAGGGACCATTATGGGGAAAAAAAAGGGCAAATACACTGCCAAGCCTTAACTCATGACCTTTTACCTATCCAAAGTATGACATGTGTTTTTTCCCTACCCCCTGGCCATGGTCCAAACAATCTGATGGGCCATGGACACTGGGTACCTCCTAAAAACCAGAAGCCTTTGTTGTAATGTTTCTAAGGACAGACTAGATGAGGGAATGAAAGGTTGGGGACCACCACAAAAGGGAAGGAGGGAGACAAACCCCTGGTCCCTTAACCTCTTACTTGTTAAAAGCCTCACATGTGTCTCTTTCCATATATACCAATGTGCTACTTCAGCAGCTCCAGCAGCCTGACATTATCACAAGGCCAAGATGTTTGTGCCAGGTGGTGGCACTAAGAAGGGAAGCTCCCGGGATAAATTATCCACCCATTCCTCAAGGCCAGGATGTTTACACAAGATACAAAACCATCTTTTGAGAGGCTGGGGCTATGGCTCAGTGGTGGTGAACTTGCCTGGCATGTGTGAGGCACTGGGTTCGATTCTCAGCACCTCATAAAAATAATAATAGGTCTATCAATAACTAAAAAAATATTAAAAGGAAAACATCTTTTCAAACCATTCCCATGACCAGTGAAAAACTCCCCAAATTATAGATTACCCTGCAATCCCCACACATGAATAAATCTTGGACCCCTCCTTTGTTTGTGGGCCAGTCTGACTTCCCCCTCAATCAGTGCTGTTTCCCTTTTCCTCCAGGTGAAGCTCCCCTTCCCCATGGAAGCCTTGTCTGTATTTTGGTGTTCACTCGCCTCAGTTTTGTTTCCTCTCAACACTGGGTCAGAAGTTTGTGTCTCTAGTGTCACATGCACTGAGCTCAGGAGGGATCCACAGATGTGTTCTGCTCCTGTCTAATATTACATTAGGCCTCATACTACCTACCACATCTCTCTCTCTCTCTCTCTCTCTCTCTCTATGCTGGGGATTGAACCCAGGACCTTGTGCATGCTAGGCAAGCACTCTACCAACTGAGCTATATTCCCAGCCACCCTACCATCTCATTAAATATAAAGCATATATTATTCTTATTACTATTACTAACCCAAATGGATGAGGAAATAAAAAATTAGAGAATTGATTTGTTATTCCTCTGCTTATCCCCCAACCCTTTTAAGTACAAGTAACTGGAGAAAATGAGATTTGAAGTTGATACGCCTCCCTCAAGGGCTAACACCCTGAGGGATGGGGAGAAAAGCAGTTCTGCATAATAAAGTGAAATGAGCTTTATTTAGTGGGGGTGATGCTTTCAATGGTCTTGGAGTGTGGAGGATCAAGGCACTGAGGTATTCCTCAGGTTAAATGAGAACCATGGCACCCTCAGTGTGTCCTGTCCCCACAAATATCAGCACAGCTGCTGTACACATTTGTCTTTTAGAATTTTATTTTTTCCCAAAGGATCCCGGAACAGCTGCCAATGTTCACATTTGGAGTGATGTGGCCTGGATCAAAGGAAAGAGCACAGTCACAAGGAGAGGCCATTCCATTCCCAGCAACAGAAGACACCTTGACATGATAAAAGCTCCAGGAATTAAGAAGAATCTTGGCTGTGGAGGATGAAAGGAAGGACACAGGACTTTTCGCAGAAGACAGGATGAAGATAGAGAATTAAGCTTTTGTTCTTTAACCTAAAAACTCAAGGTGGACTCAGGAGATACCTGGGTTTACAGACAGTAAATGGTTAGCAAAGGTGAGGCCATTCAAAGAACAGCCAGGCAAGCCACCCTGGTAAAG